TAGTAGCGATGCCAGGAGCGCCCCTAGTAGCGTCTTTGCTCCTAGTAAGTCTCCCTTGCTCTGAAGAAACAAAGTCCGAGATGCCGAGTGCCAGGTTGTTCGGCGTCTGCCCGCCCACGGAGACCACCACACCCCGTGGCGTCTCCAGTTCAGCGATGTCCATGACCTCCGGTCCGCCACTTTTCCGGAGGTACGCTTTTACAGTGTCTTTCAGAATCCGCCTGTCGTCCTCACAGCTTCTATAGAACTGAGTTGAGTGGTTAGGTGCAGTGCCATTTGAGACCCGCCCACTGGCACGTGCCTTCTCATGGCTGAGCTCCTCGAAGTAGAGTCGATCTGACTCGTCGAAATCCGTGGACACCGTCTCCTCCAAACGAGAGTAACGCACACCTACGTTCTCTCGTTTGCGGAAATTGGATGGAAGCAAAATATATAATCCAAACAAACATAAGCTGAGCCAAGTCTCTGGGTTGCAGTTGATGACAATAGCCTTGTGTCCCAAGGATCGCAAGGTCCTTACACAGGAGACACTGCACCAGTCGAACTCCACGCTGCTGCCGATGCGGTAGGGGCCACAGCCCAGCACGATGATCCGCGACTCGCTCTCCTCGCCCTCGCGGCCCAAGCGCTCCCGGCCCTCGCCCTCGGGCTTCAACGTGAGGGGCTCCGGAATGGCCGGGGTCAAGTCGGTGATTTGCACGTCCGAGCATTGCTTGTCGCTGCCCACCAAAGCCACATCGTGCTCTTGACCTCTCCCGTGCTTTTTGCAATCCTTACACCTATATCATCTGTGTCATATAGTGTAGAACACTATTCACTCACTAGATACTCAAGTCGTACAGAACAACCAAAGCTTGTGAGAAAACGTGTACGTCCGAGCGACCAGAGTAGGTCAAATACAAATAGTTGGTTTCTGCTGGGTACTCGGCCGCCAAAGTGTCAATCTGCTTGACCATGGGCACAATGCCAAGCTTCTTGCGGAGGAAACGGATGTGAGCCTGTTGTCTTGCTTCGTGCTTCCAACGACCCTGTATACTAACTACACTTTCACTCGCTCTTGAATGATCTCAAAACCAAGTCCCAGCCTCCGTGACAGGACCACCGGTATATCGCTGTGAACCATGGTCAATGGGAAGAAGAGCTGGAGAAGGAGCGCAGTCCAGGATTCTATCTGGCACTGAGATCAACGATGCGATCTGCCGATCCGAGAAACCTCTGATCTTCGCCTCCTTCAAAAGCAACGGATTGCTGCGCAGCTCGTAGATGTCCATGGTCCTCATGGTGCCTTTGATCTCATGGAGGCCATGGAGCTTCGAAAGGAACCATCGATCAATGTTGGTCAATGCATGAACTTCCTCAACCCCCATTCCCTGCTCGAAGGCTTTGGCAATGGCCCACATGCGAACCTCAGAGTGCAGCGTACGCAGTGAAGCACTAAGGAAAATAGATCATAAGTCAAAGAAGGCAGAGTAGCTTGGCCATGCTATACTGTCATGATTACCATCTTCACAGCATGGGAAGTGTTTGCAGCCAGGAACTGGAGTTGGGTTGCTAAGCTCCTTCTTGAGCTCGGCATCCAAGTTGGTGCCACTGCAGTTGTGTGCATTTCGACGATTGAGCTCCAAGTCGAAGCGGATCGGGTCGAACCCAAGGCTAGTCTCATCAACCATACGGAGGGCTTTTTGGATGGTCTCCTGGGAACTGAGGCTTTAAAAAAGACCTGACCTAATAGCGAACTAGACCATATTAGATCTTTCTTCCTTTTCTTTTTCTTTGTTTCTACTAGCGATGGCCTCCAATTGCTACAGTATACATTTCTTTTTTCGACAGCATTTGACGTCGTTCAGCTGTAAGACCCTCACCGGAACATGCAACATGTGCTAAGCTGCGCCATCCCCTCTCACATCCCAAGGTCCTCGAAAGTCCTGCCGATAGCCATGACCTCGCCCACACTCTGCATGGCCGAGCCAATCCGGGCATCCACGGTGGAGAACTTTTGCAAGTCCCAACGAGGCACCTTTGCCACCACGTAGTCCAAGGATGGCTCGAAGCACGCCGTGGTGCATCGAGTCACACTGTTCCTGCAAGCGAAGACCGCATTCCGACAAACACACACTTTCCAGCTGGGTGACCTTCCTGATTCTAACAAGCACTTCAGTTAAAATACAGCTCAATCGCTTTCTTTGCAGAAAACAAACAGACTCGGAGAACTTCGCGCCGCTTAGCGCCCCTTGGCCCCGCTTGACGGAACCTTCCTGAGCTGCACCAAATCATGTCCCAAAGCCAACTTGGCAGCCACGTAAGCTAAGGGATATCCGGTGGCCTCAAGCTTCAAGGAACCCTCGAATTCACTTGCTTCGTGCAAAGAGATCTTACAAATAACTCTGTACTGTGTGGAGAAAAGGTGTAAAAAAAGGATTTTACAAATACATGACATGTATACTTGATTTTGGATTTGGACTCTTCCATTTGACCTAGGACCTTGTCATCTCTTCCTTCTTTTGACCGTTTCCTTGTTCTTCATCGACTGTTAGGCAAAACGGCAACACGGCCAACGCGCCTTCGAGGCCAACGCACTGCTGCGGCTCAGCCGAGCGTTCACCTCGATGATGCGGAACTCGGAGCTCTTCGGGTCGACGGCATACTGGATGTTGCACTCTCCCACAACGCCTTTGAGGCCATCGCTATTAGAAACAAAGAAAACCGAAAAGGAATATATAAATGAATATATATATATATATATTGTCTAATATGTTGCACTCTCCCACAATTCCTTGGGGTCGCTTGCTTTTTCATTTGGTACAATGGGCTGCGTTGACTGCACCAAGTGTTCACTTTCGCCCAAGAAGGTTTTTGTCTCACAATTTGGAGCCAAAGTGATGTCAAGCTGCCCAAATGTCGAATGATCTTCAGGGCGCACTGGCGCAACCTGTAGTACTCCTCATTGTTCAAGGTCTGGGACGGCGCAATGACAATGGACTCACCGGTGTGGACGCCCATGGGATCAAAGTTCTCCATGTTACAAACCGTAATGCAATTGTCGTTCTTGTCACGCACCACTTCGTACTCAAGCTCCTTCCAACCCTTCCTAGGCGGTCACGGCAAGAACTCAGTTCAAGTGCAATAGTTGAGGGATCAAACTTTCTCTCTGAACAAAGGTTCGGACAGCATGACAATTCATACTTTTACACTTGGAAGGGCTTTTTCGCTGTTCCCATCCATCCATCGCCCACAAAACCGCTTTAAAGCAACGCTAAAGCTAAACTTCTCCAAGTCTCAATGACTTGTCAACGATGACCTGCGGGCTGTTCACCAAGGCCACGGTCACCAGCTTCCGCAGCTCCTCTTCGTCGTTGGCGAAGCCGCTGCCAAGGCCGCCCAGCGCATACGCCGCCCGCACCAGCACGGGATAGCCGATCTCTGCAGCCGCGGCCGCCGCCTCGGCCACCGAGTCGCAGCAGGAGGACTCTGCGATCTTCTCACCACAGGCGTCCACCACCTTGAGCGCATGGGGTGAAACAAAAGAACGAACAAGGGGCCCAGGGGTCTACCAGAGGAGCACACAGAAATCTCTCCCGCCCCAATCGTTGCCTGACTGAAGAGCTCACGATCCTCAGTCTTCATGATGGCATCGATCTGAGTTCCTGAAACGATGCTGGAGAGGGAATAACTCGGTTGATGTGAGAAACCAAGGACTCAAAAAGACTCCTTGCAAGATCCTACACAAGCCTATTGCCAGAAGAGTTGAACAAGTTGAAAAGGAATGCTTTCAACTTCTGTTGTGGGTAACCCCAAGTATGGTGGAAGGTGATGGCCAAAATATAAACCAGCCAAGCATCCAAGCACCTTGACGTTGTATTTTTCGAAGACTCCAGCTTGGTAAAGCTTCACGGCGCAGTTCAAAGCCGTCTGTCCACCAAAGGCCGCGAAAATTCCATCGGGCTTCTCTCGCTCGATGACCTTCACCACAAATTCAGGCGTCCTCGGGGGAACTGCGGAGCAGTCCGTACTCTACAACACCAGAGGTTGGTCCGTACTCTTATGCTGAGCGGCTATCTCTGCGCAAAAAGAACTGGAGGTACTACCATAGGAAGTTGAATGAGTTACTCCCCCAAGAATGGAACTTGGCAGGCTTGGACAATCTCAGCAGTTCAGTGGAGAGCAGTGCCCAAAATGTGTTGCTAGAAAGTTGCCACCAAGAATCACTGGCAGGAAATAGGTTCTATCAGCCATTCCTGCAGATGTTTGCACCGTGGCAATGTTCGGATTGATGAGGATTGACCTCAGTCACGAGTCACGTCTTCAGCCCATGTTTGTGCTTCATCGCTGAAACATTGACAAGTGTTCACGCAACCTGTAGGCTGCAAGCTGAAGAGCCTTCAACCCACAAGATCAAACCAAACAACTTCATCCATAAACTTTCTGGACCCAAACGGAAGGTTCAATTTCTTGAAAACGTGTTTGTGTGATTGGCACAAATATGTGATTGCAAAGTGGCGACTTCGTTGCGCTGACGCCCGTTGTGGTGACGTTCGCTATGATTGCAACGCAACATGGTGCTTACGAAGAGGGGGAGTGGGGGTCGGTGAATGTGCTGTACGTTGAGTGCAACGTAAGAAACGGACAACTCGCTGGCGTCTCATTAGAACAAAGGACTAGGCTTGCTTTGGATCTTGGGAGCTGTGAAAAAGACGCCACTACTAGTGAGGCCCTTGCTTCTAGTAGCTTCTAGCTACTAGTAGTAATGCCCTTGTTACTAGTAGCGATGCACTTGTTCCTCCTAGGTATGGCCAGGAGCTACAGGTAGCGTCCTTGCTCCTAGTAGCGATGCCCTTTGTTACTACTAGCTCCTTGCCACTAGTAGAGATGCCAGGAGCTACTAGTAGCTTCTTGCCACACAAGTCGTTCAAGTTTAAACATACATTCTGGTTGTGGTCCATCTGACTGATCAGGCATGCGGCTGCTCATGCAAACGCACTGTATTTTACAGAACAAAAAGCCCCAAGTCAATGTTGCTGCTGGCGATGGAACATTTTAATCATTCCAACATACGAAAATACTGCTTCAAAACATGAAAGCGTTCCTTGACTGGAGAGAAGGGGAGAAAACGACTTTGTCAACCTCTGGTTTATATAGTATGTCCAATTTACATCTCTTAACGTGCTCCTTCTATGCAATCCATTCTTCAAACAGTCTTCTGAATCCGTGAATGCACGAAAACATCTTGGACTGAAAACACGGGCTCTGCATTTACGAACGCATGGCCGCATGATCGCACAAAGGTGAGAGCGAACATGTGAGAGCGGAGAGCACACCAAGATAAGTGTGTGACGTCCGAACATGTGCGCACCACAAGGAGAGCGCAGCACAAAAAGATGCACGACCTCACCCCAGCCAAAAGAGAGCACTGCACCGGCCACGCGAAAGACCATGCAACAACCATAAGGACAGACTTTTTGCGAGGCTGTCGACAACATCGATCCACGCAAAATCTGGCCAATGAACTTACTATGTCACTATGACTGCGAGAACGAGCAAAGGCTTACGGCAAAAATCGTTCCAAGCGACATAATCCCGGCTTCCTTGAGTGCCTTGATCGCTTGACTGCCCGAATAGTCGAACTCGCCGGCTTGGCCAATGGTCAGTCCGCCAGAGCCCAAGACCAAGACCTAGCAATGGTCTCCAACCTACTTGCGATGGCCTCCAACCTAGTAGAGATGGCCTCCAATCTACTTGCAATGGTGTAGGAGGGATGGCCTGCAACCTACTAGCGATGACCTCCAACCTACTAGGAAAGTTTTTGTTTTGATCTGGGTGTAGATTTGTTTGATTTAGGTTTGTGCTTTGAAAGGTCTTGTTTGTGTCCCTACCCCTTCCACCCCCAGCAGCTGGCGGTAGCTGCTGGCAGCAGCAGTTCCTGCGCAACTGGGTTGCAGAGTGGATGGGCAATGGAATGGAAGTGTGTGGGTGGTGGGAGAACAAAGGGTTAGGATCTCTGACCATCTCCACATACTTGACTTCTGGCTGAGATAAAAGGAACCCCACCGGCATGAACATGACACCTAGTCATGCTTTCAATGAGCATACACAGTTGTCAGTTGTCAATGCCTACAACACCACTGGCACCCAAGTCAGTGTATTTCAAGGTCACGCGACCTTTCTGATGTGGGGACTGCTTGAAAGCCACTGGCAGCAGTGATGGGAAGCTTCATATCTCCCTAATCTGGTGGAGCACCAACAACTTCAACTTGCCTTCAACGGTGGCTTTGGACACAGGGACCCTGGACAATGACAAGCTGCCTTCTGCTGGGCAGAGTCCAATCCCAGCATGGTGTCAGCTATATCATTCACAGTCCAATGGTGAACAGGCCAGTGCACTTGAACAAGCAGAAGTGCTTGCCAGGACAGTGGCACATTGAGGCCATCAATGGGCCGAGCGGCTCTGGGAAACTTGTCAACCCAAGACACCTTGGGCCAGAGGCCAACATTCATTGGCCTGATGAGAATGCGGTGGGAGAGCAAGTGAACGCTGAATGGAGAATGTGGAGCTGGCCATTGTCTACTGAGTGTGGAGAAAAGGTGAGCAAGGATTGAGATCGTGGAGGTCTTGGCGCCATCTCTATTATTCTTGCAAGAAGAGACTCTTGCAGGGCACTTGTGTGACACTCTCATAGGACACTCTTGTGGGGCACTCTTGTGGGACACTCTTGTGTCAGACTCTTGTAGGACACTCTTGTGTGATACTCTTGTGGGACACTCTTGTGTGACACTCTTGTATGATACTCTTGCATGACACTCTTGTGGGACACTCCTGTGTCACGCTCTTGTAGGACACTCTTGTGTGACACTCTTGTGTGACACTGTTGTGGAACACTGTTGGGGGACACTCTTGTGTGACACTCTGGTGGGACACTCTCGCGGGTCACTCTTGTGTGACACTCTTGTAGGACACGCTTGTGTGACACTCTTGTGGGCCACTCTTGTGTGACACTCTTGTGGGACACTCTTGTGTAACAGTCTTGTGTGACACTCCTGTAGAACACTCTTGTGTGACACTCTTGTGGGGCTCTCTTCTACAACACTCTTGTGTGACACTCTTGTGTGACACGCTTGCAGGACACTCTTGTGGGACACTCTGGTGGGACACTCTTGTGACTCTTGTAGGACACTCTTGTGTGACACTCTGGTGGGACACTTTTGTGGGACTCTCTTCTGGGATGCTCTTGTGTGACACTCTTAGTGGCGCTCTTGTGGGGCTCTCTGGAGGGACACTCTTGTGTGACACTCTTGTGGGACATTCTTGTAGACACTCTCATGAGGATCTCTTGTGGGATGCTCTTGTGTGACACTCTTGTGTGACACTCTTGCAGGACACTCTTGTGTGACACTCTTGCATGACACTCTCGTGCAACACTCTTGTAGGACAGGAATCTTGGTGAGTTGGCTGCTTGGCCAAGCCGCTACCAACAGCATGCTTACAGCCCCTAACCCCAGCCACCATGAAGACCACACCCACATCTCAAGACAAAACCCATACAGTACCAAAACCAATAGGGGGAGCAACTATATGGTGGGTTGTGGGGTTGTGGGCCTTCACCCCACATCGATTAGCTAAATCATACACACCCATCTAAGGACAACATGCTGCTGGATCTGTGTCCTGGGAGCGCTTGAACCTCCTGCCCTGGAGTGCTTGGGAAGGCAGGACCTGGGCAGACAAGTTGTTGGGGCACCAGTTGAGGTTGGGTTTGTTGTGGGTTTTGCTGATGGCTCCAAAAAACTTCAGCCCTCAAGTCAAGGTCTTGGACTGGCAATTTTTCTCCAAAGCTGGTCCAATCCAAAAAGACTTCAGCCCTCAAGGACTAGGATCTTCCCTGGTTCAAGGGTGACATCCTGAGTCCACACCACTACAGGCCTAATCGGTTGTAGGCCTTTCTGGCTTGGCCGCAAGTGCCACGCAATGCATGTGCAACTGCTTTTCCAAGCATTCACAAGGGCTTGTTTTGCCACCTGTGCTTGGGCCACCCGCGTTTCCTTGTCTTCAGGCAACGGTTGGAAGATTACTGTATGGTCCTGCAAGGATGGCCACCAAAGCTTTGAACACACCTGGGCCTAGTAGGAAAAGCCTCAACAAAAGGTATCACACATACCAAGAAAAGGCAATTAACTATCATGCTTTTCAACATCACAATATGTGTGTTACCTTTTGTTGTGAGGTGTTTAAAACTCACACCTTCCCTCATTTGGACTAAAAAAATACATATTAATGTAACACATATAAATATATGTATATATATATATGCATGTGTCCTGTAGAAATTCCCATCCACCAGATGGATCCTGCTTGATCGTGTGATAGCAAAGCTTCGGGTGTTGCGACTTTACCTTCTGCTCTGCAGTCAGCAAGTCGGTGAGGAGGTTCAGTTTGTTGTCCATCATGCCATATGTCTCAGCACCACAGGTAAACTCAAGTTCATTGTCTTTGCACTTCTGTTCGCTGCCATCACGGAACTTGCCCTTGCCCCACCCAGCCAGGATGGAACCAGCAGGAAAGGTCACCTCAAACAATGTTTGGTGGTTATCTTGTACAAATCATATATGTTGTTTTTGCATGTCAATTGGGACATCCATCACACAAACAAGACTAAGTTGCAACACAGGTTGGAACACCAATCAATACAAAGAAAGGTGAGACAGGTCACCGGGTGCTCAGTGGCATTCTCCACATATGGCCCGCCATCAGAAACCACAAGAGTTGGAAGGTCCTGGCTCTTCACATCAGCTGGAAACCTGGCATTGATGATCTGCACCTGTGCCACCTTGACTCCGCCAGGTGCACTCCCTCCATCCCGCAAGTGCTTGGAGATGTCCACCTCCAATTTGCGCTTGACAGGCACAGCTGCAGAAACTGAATCAGAAGCCTTGGGGGCCTCTTTCTCAAGCTGCTTCACTGGAGGGTGCCGCTCCTGGAACTCTTGGACAAAGCACTTCCATTCATCTTTGCTCCACCACTTCTTGACCTCATCCTCAGGGAGCTCAATGGTGCGGATCTCATTCTTCACCTGCCCAAGTTGTTCAACACTCACAACAAATGATCTCAATCTTCACCTGCCTAAGTTGTTCAACACTCTCAACAAATGACAGCAACTGATGGGAGACTTGGCAAAGCAGCAACAACTGGAGCAATGAACCACTGGCCTTGCCCCACAAGCACCGCTTCAAGGCAGGAGGCTCCGGCTTGGATTCCATGTGCTCCGCAGGGGGGTTGAGAGGGAAGCCTGGCAAAAGGTCTCAGCCATGGGATGCTTATTTCTTTGAATTGAAACACCAGAGGGGGTTCAGAAGGGAGTCTTGCAAAATATCTCAACCATGTGACACCTAATTCTTTGGAATACTCCTTTCCCAAACACGCCCTTCCAAGACCAACATGCCTGGAAGAACCAGGGATTTTCAAAGAGTCCTGCAGGAAGCGCTTGGTCAGCTCTTGGTGAAAATAGCCAGAAAACCATTCCTGATGCCCATCATCTGCAAAAAGTGGAACATACTTCATGGGCACGTTGGTATCTTTGGACACCTCCAGGTAGGCCTCAAAGAAGTTTCCAACCAGCGGCGTTGTGTCCACCACAAGAAGGGATGTGTGATTCCCAAAGTTCACACCCTCCTTAGCAATGACTGCTTGCTGGACAAGACTGGCAACTGGTTTTGGAAACCTCAACAGGGCTAGAGTCTAGAACCCCAAACCTCAGCAAAGTGTTGCCAACAAGAAAGGTTTATGGCCCAGAAGAGGTTCCAGCGCAGATGACAACAGCTTCCGGGCTGCATCAGAGCCAATCTGGGCATACTTTTGGGCGCCATGTAAAGTTCCAGCATCTGTGCTAGGAAGGGCCTTCGGGTTCATGTCTTCCTGAATCACCATTTGCTTGCTTGCCAGCTGCAAAGCCTCATTCGTGTTGCGACGAAGCTTAAAGAGGGTAGACTCACGCCAAGCCCAATCGCTTCCTGCGTTGGCTGGAGCAAGAAACCGGCCATTGTATGCCATAGGACGCTGATCTCTTTGGTCCTGATTGGCCAGGAGAAAAGGACTGATTTCTGGGAGGATGTTGAAAAAGCAAAAACTAGACAAGAAAAGTGCATCTAGGCTGTGGGGAGGTCTCTGTCTTGGACTTGATGTCAAAATTGAGCTGGAAGAGGGTATCCACAGAACACGAATTGTTGCTCAGCATCTTGAGCAAAGCATGCTCTTCAAGAAACAAATGATGTTTCTGGTATGAGTAGACCGGGCATAGCAGCAGCCCACATGCTTGTGGACCAAACTCTGAGCCAAGCATGTGGCCAACCATGCTGAAGGTGGCAGCAGTGATGTCACTCTTGATGAGACTGGGAGATGCATAGTTGCAAATGAAGAGCAGGGCCTCAGAATATGTTCACAAGCGCTGTAAGGATTTGGCACCCACACAAAACAAAACAGCAGAAACAAGAAAAGGTTGCACTTACAAGCACATATCCAGGAACAATGTTCCGGCACTTCATTGAATCTCGCCACCTGGATGCAGCCTCCTCAATGCTCCGCATCATGCTCAAAGCTGTCCCAGCATCAAACTTGGAAGGCCATGTGTTTGCATCCACCTTGGACAACAAAAGTGCAGCAGTAGTGCACACACACAAGATGGTAGGCAAACAAACACTTCAGCAACAAGGCAAGCCACAACAACAACAACAACAACAACGACAAAAATAACCAGAGGGACAAAAGATACACAGTACCCTCTCCAAACCTACTCTGTTGAGATGTTCCCTTCTTTTTGGGTGATTGGTGTGCTGCTGGGGCTGCAGTTTGGTGGAATAGGTCATATGAATAATAGTATCCAAGGTGCATGTTGGTCCACCCACTTGTGGACAGCCTCCTTGGCTCCTTCTTGCCTCTTCCGGTTCCATTGCTCCTTCAACTGGGTGATGCGGACCTCATGGTTGCTCATTTTACCCAAGTACACCTGGAGGCATCGCTCATCATATGCAATTTCCTCTAAGGCCAGCATGTAGCTAGCTGCATCGAGGTCAGTGGCAGACTTGAAGAGAGCAGCCTCACTTGAACCAGTGATCGCCTCACCTTTCCCAGCAGTCAGCCCATTCAATATCTCCAGAATACCTGTGGGCCACACTCACAAGACTAAAGAACCACACCCTTCCCCAACTTAGTTTTCTTTTCACCTAACCTATGGTGGACAGGTACAAAAGGATTTCACTGGGGAAAGCATTGAAATAAGTGGTTGAAATAGAAGCCACATCACACCCGTTGTCGCGTGGCCCCCACTTGTCATCTTTTGCAGAGCAGGCCGATCCGAGCTCCATCTCAAGACCGGGGTCTCCACGCCGGAGCCGCTCCAAGAACCTTGGTGGATCAAGTTGATGTTGGTCAAAAACATGACCCAAATTAAACACCAACCACACAAAGGGTGCTATGTACCCAATGTACCCCACTTGTGTTTGGTGTCCCATGGAACTTGGACATTTCCATGTTGAGATCAAAAACTCAGTATTGGCACCAAGAAGCTTCTCCTCAAGGACCGGGGCAACATTGGGAACCTGGGACGTGAGCTCATCCACAATAGAACCTCAACTTGCAAAAAGAAACACACAAATACACTAGTTGTAGTTATGTTCCTAGATGCTGGGTTATTAAGGTCATATGTGCACAAGAAAAGAAACAACATTCAGACTAGTGACAGGCAAGGGCAGTAATCTCAGCCTTCTCTTCTAGCTGGCTCTTGGTCAACTTTTTCCTGTGATTGGGTGGCATGTTGGTGTACTGATTGTGGACCATCCTGAAGAGAAGAACCACAGACTCCTTGGTGTTCTTCAATCTTGTTGTCCAGGGGGATGTTCTGGAGAGCTTGCCAGATTTGGAGTTGTAGCCAACCAGAAGCTTTTTCGATCCCAGTGCATCATCCGTGTAGGGGCAACCTGAATGTCAAATATAGTGGACAGAAGCATCATCGTGTGGTAGGGTGTACCAGCCACCAAAACAGAAACTCTTGCTGTAATAAGGAATGAGCCACCCTCCCAACCATACAGGCTGACTGTGCCAAGGATTATGTTCCTAGCAGCTTCAGGGAGCTCTAGGATGGTCTTAACAGCCTGGTACTTGTAGCCAGCAATGCGGTCATGTTTTGCAGCATCATCGTTCCTGGAAGGTTTCTTTCAGGACCCCTGTTGCTTCTTAGTGGGAAGAAACTTGCCTTTTAGTTTTGTTTTCATTCACCACGAAAGGCCTAAAAGCTTTGAGGTCTTGCTTTTGTTCCACCAAGCTTCCATGCCTTGATGAGGGACTGGGAATCAGAATGGCCCCACGCTGACAGGTTGACCAAGCTAAATACCCATGAGATTGCACTTGGCGCACGCCGGATCGCATCAGAGGAACTCTTCTTCATGTTGTAGAACCTGGGCGGTTATCTGGGTTCACCCCTGCAATTTGGTAAACAACTGGCAAAGGCCAATCAATGGCATTCAGCCCTCAGAAACCCAATCTGACCCTAGGTAATTTGGTTTCCATACTTTCACTCATGGTGCCCACTGTCAGGCACCACATGTGAAAGTAAGCAATTTGTGGAGGATTTATCCTGTACCCTGAGCTATCCATCACTACCTCTAGAGGTAAAGAAAAGCAGCACTGGAACATATACATGGGACAGTTCAGCTTGACGGTCTCTGAGCCTGATGTGCTTGCACTTGATGCGTTGGAGAGACTTCTTCAGAATCAATGGCACCTCCAAGTGTGCATATGTCTCTAAATTCTAAGGAACAGGAACAGGTCTGGTTCCCAACCAAGTCTGTTTGGACCACACCACACCTCATGACCCATCCTGCGCAAAGCCACAACCACAGCCATGGCTGTTTGGATCCTGGCAGCACCCTTCAGGAAGTAAATGGAGCCGGGCTCAATCTCACCACTGTCTGGAAGGCTCGCTGTCTGCAGGGCTGGTGCAGTCAGGTTTGAAGGTGGTGGGGACATGGAGCTGAATACACAACACAAAACTAGAACACATCCCATGGCCCCACCTCCAGCCGAATCAGAATAGGGACACCTGTAGTTTGAAATCCATGCTTGTGGAAGTTGTTGATGAGTTTGATTGCAACATCAAGGGATGGTGGCTCCCTGAGTGAGCTCTCTGCTTCAGCTGAGAAAGCCCCCAATGGAAGAAAGAACGGTGCTTGTTCATCTTCTGCTCCTGGGATTGGAAACACCACCCAACAAAGTACTTTTAAATTTCTTGTGCCTATACCCAAACAGTTATACACAGCCCCATGTGCATGCACAGGACCAAGTAGCCAGAGAAGCATACTGGCAAAGGGTAGTCTGTAGCATAGTCAACGTCTTCACACATCCCCAGTGCCACCTCCATTACCTTGGCAATGCCCTTTGCCCTCTCACTGCGGACAGGGAATTCAGCATGCAAGTACTGGCGTGGTCCTCCAGCACCTCAAAAGTGGGAAGGTTTCACATGTTGGGTTGGTTGAACAAATCCTAACACACCCACATAGGGACAAAGAAAGGTCTGCAACTTTGGGGACAGAGGTGCTTTCAATTTCTTTGCGCACTGAGTCATACAGGGTCTCAAACACCGAGTCCAAAGGCAAGGTTGAATCGGACAGCATGTCACTTCCAGCTGCTGTTGTGGATTCATCTCCTTTAGGTGAACCAGACATCACAGCATCCAGATTGCGCTCCTTGTCCTGAAGGGGCGCCAGGGTAACCAGTGGAACTGCCCACCAACACCTTTACATGCTAGATCACTGGTACACTGTTTGAACCAAGTGCCATGTTGAGCCCAAGTCTCCAATTGGTCAAACAGGCCAGGGTCATCCTCTGCCATGGTGCTCATCCCATCCATATGCAACGCTGAACACTGGACCCAAAATCTGCTGAAGTCAGGGTGCAGAATTTGAGGGGTTGACTTCAGCTGGTTTCAAATGAAACCCTCCCAATCCTTTATGTGGCAACCACCCCCTAGCTGAACTCAGGGGTCTGATTCCTGACCCATGAGATGCGCTGGCCACCCCAAAACCCCCAGGGATTGGGCAGCTTTCAAATGAAACCATCCTAAGTCTACCCATGAGATTTTGCATGCTGAGATGCGCAGATTTGCTTGGCCCTGAGGATCTCATCTGAGAATCCAACGATTTAGGTCGATTTCAAATGAAACCATCCGATCTTGAGGCCTCTGGGGAAGTTAGAGTTAGGATGTTACCCAAAAAACTTGAACAGAAACTGAGTGAGTCTGATGATATCCATTATGTTTGATTCCGGTGTAGAACTTCAGATGGTTTCATCTGAAATCCGCCGATCTCCGACCCCCAAATCAAACCAAAAACAAAACATCCCTTCTACAAGATAGCTACCTCCACACTCTTTGCCATTATAGTTACAATACATTTCCTGCTCTTTTGGACTCCCCGCAACAGCTCTCCAAGTGTTCCAAAACTGGTCAGAAACCAGGGACTCTGCTGCCTTCTAGCAGCACAGCATGAGCTATGGCATCCACCATTGGCCCTGGGTACACCTGTGCAAGTAGAGACCTCTTCTGGCCACATTCTGAGCCTTCCACCCGTTGGTGCTCCTGATGGCCACCACAGAACTTTTTGTCAAAGGCCATGACAATGGCATTGCTGTTTGTAAGTAGACATGTTCTCTTCCGCAGGAACTTCCCTGAGGGAGCCCGGAGATCAAACATGCACTGGTCAAAGGTGACCTTCTTCACACCATCCTTCTTGGTAAGGTTCTGCACCTGGTTGCAGGTTCTAGGCTTCACTCACTCCTACTCTCCATACCTCCAAGTCCCAAAAAAGGGTGTGCCCACCAAACAAACACCTCCCGCAGTTGCCCTGACATGGATTACACATAGGATTTCCAGCGCAGGGGATTTGTCAAAGGGATTTTGCATGTCAAGTTTTGGGTGGATTTGGGAGTGCAAGTTTTGTTGCCCCACTGTTGTTCCACAAGATTTGGAATGGTGATGTTGTAAGGGGAGATCAAATCACAACTTCATTGCTATCGGGTTGCAACTTGCACAAGAAGTGCCATTCCATAGCGGACATTGCATGGTGTGTGTTTGTTGTTCTGCTCACAGCCCCAGACCAACCTTTGGCTCTGGATTATGGTGCCCCAAATTGGTGTTCATCTGGTGCCCAAATTTAGGTGCCAGATGAACACGGTGGAGGCCCTCATGGGGCATGAATCAGCATGAGGCCTATTTTGTGGGAGTATAGGGAATCAAGGATTGCATAAGAACCTATTGAAGGACCATCCAAGGCAAACAAGAACATCATGAAAACAATGAACACACACTTGCAACTTCCTGGTTGCAAGTGCAGAATTCATGTATATAAGAAAGATGCGCGCAAAGATTGCACATACAGAGAAGATGGTTTTGGTATTTGCTGAGGATAAACCTGTTTGTCAGATTCTTTTTGCTGCGGTGAGAAGACAAACAGAGGATCTATTTGCTGTATATGCATACATATTATATATTTGTTGTATATACATTCAACTCTACAGTTTGCAGAGAGGAGTAAAACAGAGAGAGAAAGAGGACAAAGAACAAGGTTCTTTCTTTCTTAGCTTGCCCACTGCCCATTCTCATGTTTTTGTTACATTTGCAACTTAAGTTGGCATACTACCGGATACACCATTCGCAAAGCACCATGGTCATATGCCAACTGTAGCTATGTATGACCCACTATAGTCACTATAGCTTAGAAAGAAGAATGGACACCCCTGTTGCATCAGAGGGACCGAAGCCCGATCCCACGCTAAGGATTTCTCCGGGTGCTCCAAAGCAAAGAACAAGCCCATGGTCAGCTGGAGCAAGGCCAGCCAAGCGCAGAAGTCAATGAAGTCAAGCGCTTCTTTCAAGCACATGAACTTGTCCTTGTGCTTGATCCGGCGCCAGTTACTGTGCTGCATGCTGCACACCATTGTGCATGGTGGACTCATGAACAAGCACAAAGGTTTAAGGAGCAACACATCCTGCATGGTTGTGCGCTGGAAACTTTCTGCTGATAGGTCCCAATAATGCTTGATATCATAGCTCCGGCGTGCACGGCCACCCAATTCACGAACTCTGGGGGTGCACCTTGGTACAGAAAAGATCTCCCAAAGGTGGCATCGCATCTCCACAGCACAAGGAACTTGGCCTTTCAGGATGTCTAAGAGGTCTATGTACTTGTTGTCAACCACTGATGCAACACGGGATGCAGCAGCCTTCAATGAAGAGTCCTCGCAATCACATACCTGATGTTCAGTGTCCTTAACCACTGGAGCCCGCCCTGGCAGGTCAAGGACTAGACCATCATCATCAGATGGCAGCTCTAGCTCTGCACTTGCAGAAGGCAGCTTGCGCTTTTGGGTTTTGGGCTTGGGCTGGTTCTTGGACATCTGAGGACATGTCCGCTGAGCTTTTCTTTTGTTACCAACAACTGGCTTTTGAGGGGCAGGGGAGATCTCAGGGCCCAGATCAACCCAAGCATCATCATCACTGTGATGCAAATCCACCATAGCAGCAGGGTGGTCAGGTGGTTGTGATGTTAGACAATTACATTAGCAGTCTGACTAACAGTCATGGAAACAGAGTGCATGGTCCTAGTCTTGTTTGGCTATGCTTTTTGATACAACCAGCAGTACCCTGAGCTCACATGAAGAAGGCCGGTGCAATCTCCAAAAAAGCATAACATTGAATTTGTTTTGAAGTGTCAACTTGAAGGGTGATAACTTCAGCATCTTTGCTTCTCCCATCGGCTCACTTGCTGTAGACAATCTAGCTCATGTCACCCGATGTCATGATGACATTGAAGGGATGCAGGCTTTCCCACAACCAAACGTATCCCACAAAAAGTGGCCATCAATCAGCTTGATTGATTCTGGGCCTACCCCAAACTTGCTACCAGCCACATTTCACAGCACCTAGCGCTTGCCCAGAGCCTTGCTGCGGCCACGGCCTCGGTTCCTGCCAGGCTCCTTGGGCATGGCTTTCGCCTTGGCCTGCTTGCCACGGCCACGCCCACGCCCACGACCAGCACCTTGGTTTGAAGCTGCTGCACCATGGTCTTTCAAGAACTCCTCCACTGCCAAATCCACACAGCCACCCTGGACACACTTGTTCCAGTAGTCCCGCTCAAGCCCATCCCGCCAATACTGAGAAGGCACCATTTCATAGAACTTTGACCTCCGAGCTTCAAAGATTGCACCAGCCTCCTCATTAGTTGGCTTCTTCCTGCCTGCAAAGGTTGCCCGGGTAGGCCAAGGCATCTCTGGAGCAGGTGGGTCAGCAGGTAGGTCAGCAGCAGCACCAAAGAGATCTTTAGGCACGATCTCCTCTGTGGGAGGAACCACAGTGCTCCGTTTTTTGGACCTGGGCCCAAAGACCTGCTCACCCTCCCCCAGCGGTACCACTTTCTCTACCTCAGCATCCTTCCTTTTAGGAGGTCTCCCACGTCTCTTTGGCTCTCCACCAATGGCAGCCCCCGGGGTGATGGTAACCTGCCGCACTGGCCCAGGTGCAAATTTCTCCCACCTTGCTGATCAAGATGTGTGGAGTAAGACAGCATGTTCATGCTTCTAGTCATGACTGGGTCTAATACAGGGTGAGCAACATGTTTTCCAAAGTGTGCCAACACTGGTCAAGATGCCCATTGGGAGTTGGTTCCACACCCAGCTCACGCACATCAGTACTGAACCACCACTTGGGCTCTGGAATCTCTGGCCACTCCTGCTTCTCATTGTTGTCCTCACCCAATCAAGTAGTGGCGCATGAAGGGTTTTGCACCACCTAGTTTGAACCTACCATTCCAGGCAAACCACAAAAAAACCTTCTATATTGCAAAGTGTCCACCCACTCTCGCAAAGCTTTTGCAGCTTTATGTAGTAGCCACGGGTCCCTCTCCACCACATCCGCAGTCCGACGGAACCTGAGGCCAAACATGGGCAGGTGATATATCTTTGAGGCACGTTTTTTGCTCATACATGGGAGGGCAGAAAAGGGTGGAAGGGTAGTAGCCACACACAATATAAGGGTTTGCCCTTACAAACCAAGTTGCTCCTTTCTGGCCCTGTCCGCAATCAAGTTCCTGGGAAGAGCTTGCACTCCAACCTTCACCTTGTCTTGGAAGGATGCTGGGAGCAAAGTCATTGGGCTCTGACTCAGGCTCTCTGAGTTCACCAAGTGTTTGACCAAAAGGATGCAGTCGTTTGGAAGGTGCGGGTAGCTCTCCTTAAGCTGAGATAGAAAAACAAACTTGCTTGAGCTTCTCTGCACAGCTATGGAATTGGAGAGACCCCAACCCAAAAATTTACCACAAAGCAAAAACACTTCCTAAACTAAGCTTCTTTTGGGATCTCTTGAGGAGCCCACGACTCACCAGTTTGGTCATCATAGACAGGCAGGTCCTTGCATTGGCAGCCAAATGCTATCACATTTGAAAGAATTGGAAGCACCCATTCACAAACAAAAAACCTTGGAGAAATGGGATCAAGGCGCACTGCGGCGGATGAAGCGCCAGCAATGGTTTGCATCAGCTGGATCATGGTGGGAGGTCACCAGGCCTCCAATCTCAACAGTGTACTGAGACAGGTATTTCTTCATATCCAGACTTCCTGGGAGTAGTTCTACCTTGAGAGTTCTGTTCCGGATTGGTGAGAACTGGTTCTTGAGCAGATCCACAAAATCCTGACACAGTGAAAGCAAGACTGACTAACATCCTAGGGGTGGAACAACAGAATTAAACATCCCATGGGAAGACCAAGAGTATTTGGAAACACACCCAGGGTAAAGGCTCCACTGTCCTCAGGTGATTCAATGCAAGCTTGCTTGCTGAATGTGGCAGCTGCTTGGCCCAACCGCTGGTCAATGGGGCCGTGTGTGTGCCCCACTTGGCCAAAGATGTGCGTGACTGACCTGAACCTTGTGGCCAAGTTCCTTCAGATAAATCACCAAAAAGGAACCCCACTAAAACACACCAGCCATAGGGAAACATTTTTTGGTTTCAGATGAGGGACCGGTTTGTGATGATTGCACTGGCACTCAGCTTGGCCATGATCTGGTTTTTGCCTTCTCTGACACAGTTGTCCGTCTGCAGGGTAAAGCCAAAAACAACATTGGACTAGTCATCATTATTTCAAAAGACATGGTTCATTAAGGTTGGGCATGTGTGTTTGCACCTACAAACAGTTTAATTTTAAGGGATCAACGCCACTCCTCTATGACCAGATGTTCTGGCAAAGAACGGCCATGGCGAGATAGCTCTTCATGGGCCCAGTCCACAGCCTTCATCACCAACGTGGCCTCGCAACTGGAGTCCTTTGCCACATCCGGTGGCAAAATGACATATCCCTCAACAACCTCAGCTGGAAAAATCATTCAAGGAAAGAGTTTCCAGCAGCATTATGGATATTAAAAAACAGAGTCTTTATATATATATATATATTGTAACTGTATATACAATCAGCTATATAAAGTAAAAGAAACATAGCACCTGACCTGGTCCAAAAGAGTACCTGCGCAAATCAAAGTAACACCCCACACGATAACACCTACCAGGTGTAACTGAGGACGCCAGCAGCTAGATAGAGTCTTGGAGCTTGCTAGATTCCTGGGAAACTTTGTTTTATTCTGGTCAAGGCCATCGAGGTCAATCTTCAAAATGTTGGAGCCCTCTGTCTCGCTGAGGGTGTTCAACCGCCCCTGAATGAGGCGGTACTGGTGCACGTTGAGAAGGTGGCCCTTCTGCGCAGCCTCCAACTTCAAGCGGTCAGACTCACAGGCTGCTTTGTTGCACCTGGCGCTGAACTCTGCACAAGTACTGCACCTGAAGGGCAGGAGAAACACAAATTTGCTATGCTTACAGTCCACATGCAGTATCCACTGGGAACTAGCCTCCTTTGTTATCAAGATTTGTCAAACACTTGTGTTCACACCCTGTACCTGGCATGCTGTGATACAGTTCGCATCCGCAAAGTGGACTTCCATTGAGTGTCATAGGTCTTGCGGAAGCACCAACATCCAGCAATCTCAGACTCATCAAGGGCTGCCCCATTGGCCCACATCAAGTAGATCTGGTAGAATGCTTCCATGGTCATGTGGTTGATGTACCGCGGTGCCAAGCCTTTGCCGATGTGGTGTTTCCACTTGAAAAGAAAACAAGTTGAAACTATCTAGTTCTTTCAAAGCAGAAAAATTGAGAGAAACTGGTTCAAGGCACTTGTAGATCCATCCGATGGTGTGAGTCTCACCATTTTTGCTGGAGCATTCACCTCTGAGCTGAGCCCTCCATGAAAGATGCTGGCAGCTCTGATGAAGCCTCACCTAGATTGCAAACTTAAGATTGCTTTTATATATACATATATATATATGACTCCTCTTTCTCCCAACCCTGAGACCCACAAAAAGAAACTCTGCCTTAAACAGCAAGCAAAGTAGCTAGGCAGAAAGAGGCCAGAGGTGCACATAGCAGCACCTTGCAGTTCTTCCTCCGGCGGTGCCTCTGCCAATGTCTCAGCCTCATTGGTACATGGCAAAAACACCAGCGCACTCCCCTTTTACCCAAAGATTTTTTTGCTGCAAGTGTTAGGGGCAGTGGGCCAAGGTAAAGAAAAAGGGACAATGCAACTTTGTATTCCACAAAGGTGCAAAGTTCCAGTAGTAGTATGTGAAGAAAGAATCCACATTGTTGCCCTTGGAAGGGGCGCGGCCATTGTGCTTCCTCTTGTCTGGTGGAACCAGGTTCAAAGCAAGACCATCAAGAAGCCGCATCACCTTGCTGCAAACGCTGGTCACTGCGAGTGGCTTGGTCTTTAAATGATTACCAAACAGAAACCTTCAGGGGAGAGTGAAACATCAGGATCTGCTTGCAGCAGGCCAAGCAACCCTTTTCTCATTGATGCCAAGCAAAATGCAGAAACCATTGCGGCATAGAGTGGCTCCACACAGCGCCCACTCCAACGACAGTGAGTCCTTAGATCATGGTAAGTCATGGTTGGCTTCCAATACTCAACCCTTCAACCCTTCAAACATAGCCACACCAAAGAGCACACTAAATGTTGCCAAAACCTGCACATGGTATTATTAGCCAATCAAGTCTCTCCCACGTTCTCCTTTTTAGATAGCTTGCCAAGAATACCCAAGATAAATGCATTGGTCTCTTCCTGGTTCAGGTCAGCCATCTTGGAGCGGATCTCCTTCAGGGAACCCAGTGCCCTTTTTCTGTTTGTTGTGCAGTTGCCACCTCCACTCCTAAATTACTAAAGGACACCCATGACAAGGTCTTGCCATTGTTAGGCCAACCACTCCATCAACACCTGTGGATCCATGAAGTGTTGAACCCCTTGCCTCCATGCTTTTGACTCTCTGTGAGCTTGCCCGGAAATGGTGGACACACATCTTTGCACAGCACTTCAGTGCTTTCTCTGCAGAAAGCCTGGAAAAACCAGTTGGGGGCAAAGAGACAGGAAGGCCGGGTTCCTATGTTAAAAGTAGCTTCATGAGACAGTTACTCAACATAGGTCCAAGGCACCCCTCACTGACAGATTCCATTCGCTTCCGGGTTGGTGTCTTCAAATCAGGGACAGCTTTGTGAGTCAAGGAAACCAGGTCAAGGTTGCTAAAGATCTGTGGTCCACAATCATCGGGTGGAAGCTCCATAGCTGGCAACTACCCGTGGCAATATGAAGTGGCCAAAATGACAAAGGAACCAAAAATGAATGACAATGTTGTCCCCCTAGACATTGATATCCTTTTATATCCTTTTATGATGATGTGTTGAAACCTTGTTGATGCATGCGCCTGCCTTGCACATTATGTAGCTGGACTGCAGGATTGCAAGCAGAGCAGGATAAAGGCACAACTACTGATTTGGATTGTTAGAGAGGGCCATATGTCCAAGATCGAACATGTTCATAGTAAAACATGTACCACAGTTCCAACTGGACCCAGATTGCTTGATCCACCTGATGATCTCACTGGACTGGGAGCCCAGGCCCTGAGAGCTGCAGCGCCAATGCAGCTGCTCCAGCGCAGTGGCTGCTGTTCCAACCCCCCAACTTTCTCTCTCTCTCTCTCTCTCTCTCTCTCCCTTCCACAATTGGCTGATGATCAATTATCCTCAGCCATTATACCCTCAGGAAATCACCACCATCATCAAGCAAAAATCCTCCCTAATCAAATCAAAAACTTAGGGATGGCCTCCAACCTACTAGCGACGGCCTCCAACCTACTTGCGATGGCCTCCAACCTACTAGCGATTGTCTCCAACCTTCCGGTAGACCGTTGGCAACGAGTAAGGCATAGTGGTCACCACCGAATTCCCCGGCTCCGTGATAAACTGCAGAAAGTAATCGAACAGGAACTCCGTGTCCGTGGGACCACCCGCAGCTTCGGGATGGAACTGCACGGAAAACCAAGGCCTGGAACTCCAAATTGGAAAGACTGTTTTCGAACATAGAAGTGAAACATAACTTACTGTAAACAAATATAAGGCACACAAAGCACAATCTTTTCCAAAGCGGCCTGGACGAGTGAATGATGCCTTCGTTGGTGCCATCGTTGGCATTCACCATCAAAGGCACCCAATTCGAAGGCAAGGAGCTCTGATCCACTGCGAAGCCATGGTTTTGAGCAGTGATATAGCACCGTTGGGTTCGCAGGTCCACCACTGGCTGGTTCATCCCTCGGTTCCCGAACTTCATCTTGTAAGTCGACGCACCTGTCAACATGGTTGGTGACTATGACAAAGCATCACATCTACAACTTTCTTCTCTTACCATGTAATATACAAATGTGTATCTTCCTTTTTTGTTGACTCATCAATTTCATTCATATGAATTCATTTCGAATTTCATTTGGAGAAGCCCTGAGACCTGCTGCCAAAGCCAAGATCTGATTGCCCAAGCAAATGCCAAGGATCGGCGTCTCGGGTCGGTGCTTCATGACGTATCGGACGTGCTCCACCGTGGCCTGACACATGGTCGGGTCTCCTGGGCCGTTGCTCAAGAAGAGCCCATCGAAGTCATCTTGGGTGAAGTCATAGTCCCAAGGCACCACCGTCACGCGCAGTCCCAAGTTCACCAAACACCTTTCGGAGCGGAGGCGCGAGACGCGGAGCGACGCGGAGCGACGCGGTTGGCGTTGGCAAGAAAGATCTTTTGGGCCCACAAAACGGACTTCGTTGGAATTCCATCTGGAATCTAGATGAATCAGGATACCCTTTTCGTTGGAGGTCCTCCCTGTTTGCTAGCATACACCCTGATGCACTGGCCTGATGATGTTGTTCTTCATGCCGCAATCTACAGCCAAGATATGCACCTGTCTCTTCAAACGTTCGTTGACCTTCACAGGTGTATAGACGTCTTTTTGTGTCCTTGACACTTCGGCCACGAGATTCCGCTTGTTCGGGTCATCCAAGGCCAAAGAAGCTGATGGAGTGCTTCCTTGCACCAGCAACTTTCCCAACATCGATCCACTTTGCCGGATGATTTTCGTGATGAAACGGGTGTCCACTCCATAAATGCCTGGAATACCCTGCGAGGCTAACCACTCCCCCAGGCTGCGAATACAGCTGTAGTGCGAGGGCTCGTAGGAGTAGTCCGTGATCACCACGCCCTTCAAATGAATCCTCACACCATGAGCTGTACCGAATCAGACACCTTTTTCTTAGCCCGCGCCTGCTTAATCTAGTAAGGGAGAAGTAAGCTACTAGGAGAAGTTACGCTCCTAGCTAAGGACGCAGGATAGCTCGCGCTAATGATTTGGTTCCTAGATTCTTAGAGAAACTTAACTCTACCTTTGACTGCTTGCTCTACCAACGAGAAGAGTTTATCCTGATCACTTGGCCATGGAGGCCATGGCTTCAGGACATCCTTCAGCCAGCTTCCAAACATTTTGGATACAAGATACATATAAAACTGGAAAACCGTCTGTCTGAAATAGGATCATTGGGCATTGCTCCTAGATATGCGGGTGTATTTCAATAGAGTTGATTTGTCCTCTATCCGTGAGCCTTGATGAGGTCTCCCTATTTCAATACACATGGAGACCTCCCATATCCCATCTCTCTGCTCCGCACAACACCTTGGATTCACTCTTGTGCTGAGAAACTTGTGGCTCTCGAACCACCGAGGCAAGCCAAGCTCATCCTTTTCATCGGATGGAATGCCGTAGTTTCCAAGGAGCGGATAGGTAAACACCAAGATTTGCCCTGCATAGGATGGATCAGTGATAGATTCTGGGTATGCCACCATCCCTGTGTTGAAGACCACCTCACCGGAAACAGAGGTGGCTGCGCCAAAAGAATTGCCTTGTAGTGTTGTTCCATCCGCCAACTCCAAATTGCACTTCCTTCGGGCGTTCACCCACCGAAGCAAGTCTGAGGCTTTTCCTGTGTTTGGCTTAGCATCCAAGGGATCCACTCCGTCAAAGCCAACGAAATCCCAGCCCATCTTCTCAGGGTTTTCAGCCCAGGCGCACATAGAAACACCAACAGCGTTCGCAGGTTTGAGAGTTCCACCAAATGGCTGAAGCATACAAACAAACAAACATACACGCAAAACAAGGCCGTTCTTTTTCGCACACGCTTTTGCGAATCACTGGGCTACAAATGGAATAGACCCTGTAACAGGCAAAATCCTGAGTTTAAATTCATCAAGCACATATCAAAAAATATAGTTTGATAAATAAATATATATATATACTATATAATATACATATAAATTGATATAAAATATATATTTTTTGAATTTGGCACTATGCCATCACAGGTTGAGCTATGTGTTGTCGAAGTGATGGTGGCACCTCAATCACAGGTGGATACAGGCGATACAGGTTTGATTCCTCCCTATTTTGGGACGTCGAGGATCTTGCTGGAACTGTGATGGGAGCTCTCGATTCGTCCTTAGGGGACTTCAGCTTCAGCCTCAGCTTTGTCTTCCAGGCCATGGATCAGTTGAGCAAATCAGGCAAAAGGTGATGAGACAATGGTTGAGCACTTCACTTCCACCAACTAGTTTGCGAACCAAGCAAATTAGCTACTAGGAACAAAGGGCATCGCTACTAGGAGCAGGGACGCTACTAGTAGCTCCTGGCCTTACTACTAGTCTTTTTTGCTTTGAATCGGTTCTGTAGAACTTCTGTGAAGATAGACCTTTTGAGACCCGAACGGCTCTTGCTGCTTTGCAGCCGGCCGCAAAGCTAAGGGTGCGCGCGACACATTGGCAGCTGCCTGGGAAAATCAGCCGCACCGGTGTCTCAAACTTGGAGACTGCGAACCCAAAAACCACGCAGTTTCCACCTGCTGCTTGTACTCATCACTGTGCTTGTCCTGCAAAGCTCCCACGCACTGAATCCACAAGACTCTTCAAACAAAGCATACTGCATGCTATGGTGGCTACTGTCATTCCTGCTGCTCTTGTTGAATCTTTAGCAAGAAGGTCATCTTGGCAGCCGCAGACAATGGCCTGACAGAGCATGAACATCTCGTCTAGAAGCACACCTCTCGCGGAATCTCATGCATTTGAGACCTCCAGTCGGCAGCGTTGACCATATGCAAATGATGACCAAGTCGACCAAGCAAGCGATGTCTCAGTCGCTTCTCCGCCACCAAAGCCTCAGCAGTTTCTTCCCGCAAGAAGGCTTTCCAACTTCCAAAGTATCCATTGTTGCATGTTTGTTCGTAATAGTGCTATGCAAATTGACCTTGGACACTCCAGCCTTGGTGCCCTCATAGAAATGATGCGGGGAGTTCACCTACACCAAGCTCGATGCATTCCACAAGTCCACCTAACCGCCAAGCCTCACCCTGCCTCGTAAATGATGCGACGCGAGGGGTTCACCATATCTTTGGCGACAACATCCAACAAGTAGGGACCTCAGATTTCATGGCACGACAGCTAGGAGCGCAGACATTGAAACTGTCAGTTGAGAGCCTGTGACCACACCATTCTCATGCTCAATGCCCAAGTGCGTAAGACACCTCAGATCCATTGCGCAACAAATAACAAACACTCCTACGGATTTCTATGGTCCCCACGCACTTACGTCCCGATGCATGTCGGAACTGAACACATCGCTTGTGTTATTCGTTTTGCTTGCGGCAGCCTCCAGGCGGTAGGACTTCTTACTTAGACAAGAAGATTGAGAAGCTTTGCGAATCTCACAGTGCGAACTCCAGCCATGTCATGCCACATCAACAGATCTGCACATCTCCACAGCGGTCGTTCACGAGGTCGATCAAATTGAGATTCGACTGACGTCGACCCGCCTTGCGGAGGAGCGAAACTTCCAGCTCGTGGCGGTCATCGCCTGAGAGAGGAACCCAAAAAGAAGATACATACCGCGAGGATCCGCGAGGAGACTTTTTTTGCTTTTTATAGATCAAGCAAAGGATGCTCTTTGTCAAGCCTTATAACAACATTTAGATGCCTCTCAATCAACGATCTTTCTTCATTCTTAATGGAGGCCATCACTAGTAGGTTGGAGGCCATCACTAGTAGGTTGGAGGCCATCGCTAGGTGTCGGCCCGAGTACCTCCCAGCTGGTACACCTGGTCACACTGATGACTCGGGAGGGCGTTTCTCAATCCTTTGATCCCGAGCCATGGCTGGATTCACTGGAGGAAGGGTCGAAAGTGACCGTCGCTGGCAAGTCATGGTTTTTCGATCAGCATCGGGAAGCCTACCACTGTTCGACGATGCTTCATGGTCAAAAGTTCCTGCTGCAAGGGTTGCGTCTGAAGCTTGACCGTTTTGCCTTGTTCAGAGCCACAAAGGTCACACAACATGGTATGACATACCTGGATGCCAAAGCCTCGGAGATACACTTCCAGGAGATCCTGCATAGTGAAGATGCCAATGACATCATAGATGTGTGCTCCGGCTATGCAGTCATGACAGCCGGATATCACCTGTTGAACTGCAAGGTGCGATGCCACGTTGAGATCAATCCACGATATGTCACCTGGTTGAGATCCCGGAAAACGCCTGTCATTGAGGGTGACATCGACGACGTTGAAGTCCAAATCCAGCTGATACCCTTCATGGAGAAGCCAGGCATACTGACAGGAGGGTTCTCTTGTCAACCCTTCTCGCAGCTGGGGGACCAGAAACAGCAACTGGATCCGAGGGCTCGCAGTTTTGAGGGATTGGTGACAACATGTTACCTTTTTCAGCCTGCAGCAATGATCTTGGAATGCGCGAAGGAGGCAATGACTTCACCGTGGGTCCAGAGCTCGCTATCGATGTTCAGCCAGTTGACCGGTTATTCCTTCCAACAGCAGATCTGCCACCTACATGAGTTTTGGCCTGCGAAAAGGACACGATGGTGGGCCATCCTTGTCCATCCCAATGTCCGAATGCCACCGTTACAGAGCTTCCCGAGCCTCGACTTCAAGCCCTCCTTTCGACACCTGTTGCCGAAGCTCGCTAGTTGGCCACTGGAACATGTACAAGAGTTGCAATTGACAGCACTTGAGCTTGAGGTTTTCGCCGATCAGCCGGGTGGAATCGGAAGCAATGCAGTGAATCCGACCAAGCCATTACAAACAGCCCTACATGCCTGGGGCTCACAGCTCACAGCCTGTGCTTGCGGATGCAGAGCTGGAGGATTCACTCCGAAGAGACTGGAAGAAAAAGGCCTGTATGGCGCTTTGATTCCCGCCCCCGGCCAGACAATGGTCCGCCGACAAGATGTGGCCAACATGCGCCATATTCATCCAGATGAGGTAGCTGTTTTGCATCTCGTCCCAACACGGCATCTGCAAGCTGAAGATCGACACCTCAGGCTCGACTTGACAGCTTTGGGTCAGATCGCATCACCAGCTCATGCACTGTGGCACGTAGCTCAGGTCATTCAAGCTTTTGGTAATGCGTTTGGAGCACCCACACATCATGCACTAGCCGAACAAGGCTTGTTGCGGCTTGCGGTTGAAACATTTGCCGCCCGTGATGACATGCTTCAGCCATTCACCCACTCCAGAGAGTCCGCATTGTTTCAGGCAGCCATCTTGGCTAAGTTTGGGGTCCAGTACGAAGCACAAATCCCCCAAACCCCTTTGGTAGAAGATGTCCGGTCATACCCAGCACAGAGTACCCAGGGGGCCTTGACACGTAAGACCGTGGACAATGGTGATGCCCATTTCGAAGGCATGCAGGTCGTATCCCCTACGGGAGGGTTGGAGTTTTTCGCCAATAGGTCGACCAGCGGCTTGAAGACATATGCCCCAATTCTCACTGACTGTTCGTCTGACCGTGATTGCCCAGGTGATGATGGACATGCATTCGAGCCTGATCGTAGCCGATCGAAGCGACCGTCTTCAGCCGAGACCTCCCTAGCCAGTCCCCTGTCCAGCTCAGGGGAGGACAAGCATGGCCGTTCCAGGTCACCTGCAGGCCAGAGGTTTAGCATTCGGCCAGGCATGAGCGCACCAACTGATCCGCCGCTTGCCCATGTCACCACACAGGGCCATAGCCAGAATGCATCCCAGGGGTCATGGCAGTTCAAGTCCTGTTGTCACACCGGGGTCCACCAACAACCCCCAAATGGCAAAGGTAAGGGAGGGAATGGGGCGGGCCACATGCGCCCATCATGGCCCCATCCAGCAGTTGAACCTCATCCAGCACAAGATTCGAACCATGCTCAAGAACCACCAAATAGGGTTGATCCAGGGGATGACCAGAGTCAGGGTGGGACCATTAAGGACTTCCAGATCACTGTGTGTTGCAAAGGTAGCCAACCCACCAGGGTCCAGGTCCGGTCGGGTGCCACTGTTGGCCAGTTGTCACAGGCCGAAGAGCAGTTCGCAAGCTTTGCGCAGCCGATTGCAGTCACTACAATGACAGGGGTCCCATGTCCGCTGATGACACCACATGCTTGGTATGCCATCGCCAATGGAGCCACACATGCAGTCCCAACATGCCAAGCGGTCCATCCCTGTCAAGCCACTGTTTTGACAGTGCAGGGCCAAACAAGGTTCCAGGGTTTACTTGCACAAGGTCCGTTGGTTGCAGTTGATGAGATGCAGTTCTATGTGCAGGTTGTTCGACAGCTAGGGCACCAAGTGACGGACCCCTTGGAACTTGAAGACTTCATGGACTCTGACCAGCAAATCGCCGAATGGGCCCTGCAGTCCCTCCATGCACATGAAAACGATAGATCCCTGACTTGGTTCGAGGTGCCCGTCCTCGCTCGCAGTCACTGGTTCCCGATCGGCCTGCAGGTATCAGATACGGGTCCGACCTTGTGGCTGCCACGAGAAGTTGCGAACTTGGTCCAGGCCAATGTAGTTGCATCATGCGGACCGCATGAATTCGGGTTTGATGTGTTCGAGCTCCCTACTGTGTTCTCAGCAGATTGTGGGTTCCAAACCGTTCACTGGTTATTGGAGAAGGCCAACGGCCATGACACCCCCAAAGCCGTCACCATTCCACAGGCCAATCAATGGAGGGTCCGGTTTGCACAACACTGCCTGAGCAGTGACCAAGTCATGACCCAAGACCTTCGGTTGGGAGGAACGTTGCATCCAGATCAACTGCTACTGCAGTCAGTCCTCAAGCAGCACGGGGTTGGTCAGGACCGGATCGCAGATTGTGCGACTAACCTCATTAACAAGTTAGGCCATGAAGCCATCGCTAAGGCCCTCAGCAGTTCGCAACCATGGAAGGACTTGAAAACCATTGCCACCCAGGCCTCGCCACCGATTCGGATTGTCTTGGCCTCTGAGATCGACGCAGCTGTCAAAGCTCGCCTGGCTACTGACAAGCCGGTTGGATCGAAGACCAACAAAGCCAAGGCCTCGAAAAGTCCGAAGCCACCAGTGATCCCCACGGCCGAACAAATCCAGTTGCCTGATGCAATTTTCATGCAGCAAGACGGCCAAAAGCTCCATGCTATACCAGTTCACAAGGTCGAAGCACATGCCCAGGGAGTTTCGCTGTGCAACCTCCATGAAGTCGTCCACTTCCTGGGCCTCAAAGAGCCAATTAGTGCGGAAGGCATGGCCTTGCTCATTCTGGACCACACCGACACTCGGCTGCCTGCTCATGTCGAACAAATTCGAGTCCCTGCCATGTCGGCCACCACGGGAGAACCCATGTTGGTCTCGGCGGCCATGCTCCAGCTTGGGGCGAAGCGAGTCGTGCGTCATGTGCCGTCCGAGAGCTTTGCCTTGGAAGAGATTCAGACCAAAGTGTTGAAGGTTGTGGTGTATCAAGAAGAGTGGGCGGGAGGGTGGGCTTCGTTCGTCCAACATCCTGTCAGAGCCATTTTTGACCACAATCTCATGCAAGACCCAGCCTTTCCTCTGACAGAGCACATCATGGATGTCTGGGACCGACAGCTGTTAGATTCCAAAATGGCCCGCACTCCGGCTGCCCAGGCTGAGATCTTCGCTGTGCTCATCCGAGTCACCGACCGATTTGCAGCCCATTTACTGCCAAGCTCAGGAATCGATGGCATCTATTTCGAACCAAGGACCATGGATGGCCGCAAGCCGGACCCTCAGTACCGAGTGATCTGGATGCCTAAGAAGAATTTAGCACAAGTTCGATTAGCAAGAAGCCAGACTGAATCACGTACCACCATCGTGCGCATGGGCACCAGATTCGGCCTCCGAGCGGACAAAGACCATGCCGAGCAAGTGCACCTGCAGCATCGACCAGATTTGATGTTTCTTGATGGCCAGGCACTTCGACCGTTCAAGGTAGGCCCGTTTCCGTATGGATCCACCAAAGCAGCACTGTCCAAAGGGTTTCAACACCTAGGATGGAACGCACGGCCAGTTCAGCCCATATCCCAACTCCAGGTGTCCGAAGGCATCTTCTGGCATGTCATGGCTCCTCAAGAGCCAACGCACTGGATTTACCAAATGAAGCATGGCGATGTTCTGATTGCAAAAATGGAAGACACCAAGGAGTCAGCAGTGCCCAGTGCTCATCACATCATCGCATCCAAGAAAACCATCTCGTCGTTGGCACGGGGGGTCCAAGAGGCCACAGTTGATCCATGGCTCAAGCAAGACCCATGGCAATCAGGGAGTGCCCGCAAGGCTGTGACAACCACCAGCATGCCAGCTGTCTCACAAGGGCAGCTCACAGCCCTTGAACAGAGACTCGAGCAGAAGATCCAGGCTTCAACCGCTGAAGCCAAAGATGACTACATGCAAGTTGATCAATCGGCCAGGATTGAGGCCTTAGAACACCAGGTGCAATCGCTGACACACAATTTCTCCAGCTTCCAGAGTCAGCAGGTCAAGGTCAATCATCAAATCGCTGGGCAGATCCAGGGACTTGAAGGGAGGATTGACG